TTTTGGAGTTTTTTTTAATATGGTAAATTAAAATAGGGTACCGGTAAATTAATTTTAAGTTGTGGCAAAGTTAGAAGAAATATTTTTTAAATTCTGATATCATTTTTCTACATATCTTATGGTTATTTCCACGAAGGTGTTGTAGAGGCAGAATATAAATTTATGGTAACCGTTTCTTACGATTACCTCAAGAAAGTCAAGACGCTGTGTCATATCGTGTCATTAAAATGCAATTTTACGCAAATTTTATAATAAATCGTCACATTTGCATCGCAAGCGATAACGCCATAATTAACAGGATTAACCTAATTACGGCATGAAGCCCGTACTTTGGAAAGTCTCACAATTTAACAGCTAAAAACAAAAGGAATATATTTTTCGTTTCACTCTTTGAAGGAGTCATTGAAAATTATTTGACGATGATGTCGCAATTAAAGCAAATGGCGATTATTAATCGTTTAGTTATTATACGTTTGGATAGAATATTTTCCACTGAACAAACCAAATCTGATGTTCAAAAAGGACTATAAATATTTAGTTAAAATGTTTCTTTTGTTTGATGCGCGATTTTTGAGTATGAACTTTTCAAATAAAGTGTTTAAAAATTGTTTAAAAAATGCGTTTATAAACTAGGTAAACTTGTTGAGAAATGTTTAATGAAATGAAACACAAATAAAATATTCATTTTAATTTAATTTAAGTAAATGAAATGTTTGGTTTTAATTTCGATGACAACACGGTACTAACCTTTTGTACCATTTTAAATCATTTATGTCACACACCAAAGAAATGATATTTACTGAAAATTACCCTTATTTGACTTTATATGACTTGGATTATACTGTTAAGAAAGAATTTTTATTTGAATATTTCGCCACTTTGTTGCCTCAATCTCAACGCCACAACACGGTGGAAAGATTGTAAGTTGCACTATGGAATGTTTGATGATTTTGCCGCTAAGAACAAATGTCATTTTTAATATTTCAGCTAATATTTCCATACTTTTTGTATTCAATTTTAATGACACAAGAACGATGTTAAAATTTTAGTTTTTATTTTTAGTAGTTTTAGTTAATTTTGTCTAGAAACGCATCTTATTTAAAAATTTAAAATTGACATTGGTTTACAGAAAACGCTTGTTGAACTCCAACTGGAATCCTGCAGACGTTTCGAAAAAATCTCACTTGGCATCTTCAATGCTCGCGCTACGAAAACACTTCGAACACTCTCGGAACGCGAGCATTGAAGATGCCAAGTGAGATTTTGGCGAAACGTCTGCAGGATTCCAGTCGGAGTTCAACAAGCGAACGGATGATATCCCGGAATATAGTGTCATCACATTTTTCCATCCGTGAATCAATACGTGAAAAAAAACACACATATATATATATATATATATATATTTATATATTTATATATATATATATATATATATATATATATATATATATATATATATATATATTTCGTTACTTTGTGTACTCAGTTTTAATGACACATGAAAGTTGTTAAAATTGTGTAAAATTTTAAGGCACGCTTATGAACAAGTTTGACTTAAAAAGCATTCTTATATTGATCTTGTTTTACGGCATATGATTTTGATTGGGCCGTTAAAAACAAATGTCTATTTTAATATTTCAGCTTATATTTCGGTATTTTGTGTCAGGTAATATTTCGTTACTTTATGTACTCAATCTTAATGGCACAAGAAAGTTGTTAAAATTGTGTAAACTTTTAAGGCACGCTTAGGAAGAAGTTTGACCTAAAACGCGTCTTATATAAAATTCATATTGTTTTACTGCGTACGCTTTTGATAGTGCCGCTAAGAACAAATGTCTATTTTAATATTTCATTTCATATTTCGTTACTTTGTGTACGCAACGCCGCAAAGTTTTGCGAAGTTGCCAGGGGGTTGGTTACCTGTTACCTCCACTACTGCCGAGCTTTTTAATTAATAATAGCTTTCCTATATAGCATCTTAATCACAATTTCCGCTTAACTGTTTGATTTGATTTCATAATGTTGGTAAGATAATTTTTCGATGTAAAATATGATATGATCGAGTAAACCTTCATTGCGTTTCCGAACGGAATGTCATACGAGCAAGATTAATCCTCGAGGTTCAAATTGGTAACGACATTTCTCACCCGCAAATCCGCAAAACGTGGCATTAGTTCCCGTCACGGAGGCATTATTACTATGTCCTCTTCTAAAAAACTTTTAAACTGTCAGATCTAGGAACGTTTTAATTGTGTTGCTAAACGAATTTCCAATTTGAAAAATCAAACTTTCGTTGTTACTGTACACAAAAGTTTCAACTTTGACTCTCGCAATGATTTTGAGTTCTGAGGGATTTATTGAATGAATGAACGAATTAAATAATAAATTGCGAAAGAAGGATTAAAACTGTCGAGGCAAACAGTGCAATTATATCGAATGGAACCGATTTCTATTCCAGGCAGCTTAAGGGCTTTTCGTTACAACACGAAAAATAAGGGACTCTTTTATTAATAAAAATTGCCTCCGGGACCACTCATGGAAAAATGTTGACTTGGTCGCTTCAAAAACCAAGGCTCTCAAAGGTAATTAAATGTTATACGCGTGGGAGGATAGTAGTCGAGGCTTGATACGCGTTCATTGAACAGCGACAGAACTATCAATTTTTGAAAACCGACTTTTGGAAAATGCTCCGGGATTGTTGTTAATTATTATCGAAATTAACAAAAAAGAATTACTTTGATGAAAATCAATTTATCATAATAAATAAGAACTAAAAGTTCAGATTTTCACGAAATTATATATTTTTACATGACAATTGTTTCGACAACATCGTGTCTTTATCAAATGTCGCACATTTGATAAAGACACTGTGTTGTCGAAACAATTGTCATGTAAAAATATATAATTTCGTGAAAATCTGAACTTTTAGTTCTTATTTATTTTTTTAAAGTTAATTTTAGAGTACAAGGGTAAGGAATTTCGGAGGAATTTCAAGGTGTTATAGAACATTTTAAGCTACTTATTGGAATTTCAGGATGTTCAAAGCACGGAAAAATTTTGAAATGATTCTTTTAAAAAGAAGATTATAAGTTGCTATTTCCAAAAATATCCTGAGAAAAGCTTGTTTTGCAGTGCCAGTAACATAAAAATTTTGCAAATATCCCATCTATTTTTGAACATTTTCACGAACCAAACTAACTAAAACAAATTTATTTTACATGCTCGTTAATCTTTTTGCGAAGGCTAGATTTATTTTTTTTTACTTTGACATGCGCATTTGGTGATACGTTTAGTCTTTTTTACAAAATATTGCATGTGCATTGTACACTATGAACACTATGAAAGAATTCCAATGAATTCTAGAAGAATTGCAAAGAATTCCGAGGAATTACGAGGCACTCTGAAGCTTACTCCTAGAAGTTTTGGAGGAATATTTGACTAATTTTTCTTGCATGAAAATATTATTTATTTATACGTTGTTAAACGATGATATATATAATATATATGTATATATACAATATAATATTATTGAATCGTTCTCGTTCAACATCATAATATTATTGAATGGTTCTGGTTCAAGTTCGCATTGAATTAACGGCAAAAAAATACTTAAATGTAATAATGAAATAAAGAAAAATAGTTCAAAAAATAATACGAAGATTTAGCCCAACAAGCAAAAACATGAGAGAAATTTATGATTCGAAAGTTCGCATCCAGAATTAGCGGGGATTCATTTAGCCCTGCTTTTTAGCAAATTTATAATACGGTTAAGTCGTCGTTATTACATTTTCCAGCAGCTTAAACTGAAGTTTAAAATTTTTGTTTTGTTTTTAGCTTGTTGCCATTTTTAAGCGTTCACCGACTGCTCGTGAAGTATAAAGCAATGCGAAAAATAAACGTGTGGGCTAAATACATATTATTTTCTGGTCAGCGTAAAAATAAAAACGCATTAAGGCTCGGCTAGTACGTTTATCGCTTCAAATGAATTTGCGTGTCGATTTCGTATAGGCGTACTTTTAAAAAAAGTGGCAACAATGGCCCCTTTCATGGAAAAAAAATGAGTGACGCATTCTTCCGAGAAAATAAAAATCCGCGTCCCAGAGCGGAGTCCGTTGTATTCTACGGTGAGCGAAAACGACCTTCGAAGGATAACACTGATAACGTCAAAAGGAAATTTCCGGATATTCGTTGGGAAAAGAAATTTTCCATTTTGTACCGTCCCCGACATGGGCTTGATATTTTATCGGCAAAGTAATCCCTAAAATCACTAAATTATAAATAAAAAACATTCTAGGGGAACTAAGCCAGTTTTTTGCTATGAATTTTTAAAAGTTATTTGCAATTTGCTCCACTTTTTCATTAAGGTTTTTCTTAATAAATATCCACCAAGGTCGCCAAAACTTAACATGTATGATTTTTTTTGTTATTGAATCGAAAGGATTCGGCGCAGGTACCATATTTGCATTTTGATGCGGTTTTAGGTTCGATATGTGTCGGAGGAGCCGATTTTGGCTATTAGATAAGTCTCAGCATTAACATTTTGTCAAAGAAAAAACTTTTTTTTTCTTTAATTTATCTTTTTTTTTATCATAAAGTGTTGTGTAAAAAGTGACAACTCGAAATAATTAAATCAATTGTCAGAGCGTTTTTTGCACTTTTCACAGTCAGATCAAACTCTTGATCGATTCACTATTTCAAAAAGTCAAATCGTGGTAGAAAATGTTTCAAATGCGCCTCTCACGTTGAGCGTGCGTAAGTTTCTTTTTGGAATTCATTACGTTGTTTATTGCCGCGCGTGAGTTAGAAATTAAAATTGCTCCCATTCTCCGTATACGTTTCAATATTTTGTTATATCGATAGACTTGTGTCGACCATAAACGTGAGTGAAAATACCGTTCTTCGAACGGCCGCGAAAACTTTTCAAATTTCGCTTTGCGCGTCGGAACGGTGAGTTAAACATCCGCCAAAATTATGAAATAAATATATATTTCGAAACTTACCGCAAGACGACGGAAGAAAATTTGCTTTATTTGCAGTGTTGACTGAGCAGTATAACACGCTACCAAAGACGCTCTGTTTGAACTTCCCCAACGATGGAAAGCATGATATAGACTGGAAAACTGCCCTTTCCGAGACTTTAACCGTAAGGGAAAACTGAAATTCAGCACGCACGCGTACTTGTTGCGCTCCGAACACACCGAAAATGTCGGTCGATAATATAGCCCACCTACTTTCCCTTAAAGCAACAAGTAGCAATTTATTGTGGACATATCAAAAATCACGCACGAAATTTGAAAACACAAAGTGCCAGGTGCCACCTATCAAAATGGGTCCTCGAAATTTTCGGCCAATGCAGTCTGCGCCAGTCCGGACCGCTCGGCAAAATAAATAAAAAAAAAAAATCTGAAACTTCCTGTAGGGTTGGTCCTCAAAACAAGCGCGATTTTCCCCATTTTTTAAACGATTTAAGCATTAACTTCCAGAGTTTTCGCCGTTCATTATATAAAGCGTTACTGTTCAAAACTTTCCACATTATTTTGAAAATCTTTTATACAGTGAACTGCTAAAATATAGAATCATTTAAAAATCAGGTATTATATTTCAAGAAATATGCTGGCACACCACCATCATAATTTTTTATTGCCAATTTTTTGCAGCAAACAAAATATGCATGGTGGACCGACAAGTCAATACCAAGTTGTGGAATACTTTATACAAAACTTACAAATACAAAATGTCGGTTTTTGTTGAGTCGAATTTGCTGACCTTTCGCCAATCATCCTGTTGGCTTCTTCAGAGCTTGACTGAAACTGATTCGCATTTTACTCTGTAACTGCTTTTATAATGTTTGAAGGAGGCGGAGCTAAATGAGGGGCATAAACAGCGTCTCGGATGACTGATTATCATATTGGTGACAGGTAGATACCTGAGTCGTGGTTAAGATTGTTAGGTTGCTTATAAATTTCTATAGACTTTCGGATTTTTCTTTAGTGAAGTACTGATTACATGCAAGAATTTTAGTTTCATCAAATAAAATTGTATGTCCGGTTTCGTGATTGTGTTCGGCAATTGCTGATAACTGTATTTGTCTTAGTCTTTAGGCTCTATCATATTCTTTGAGCTTAGTTAATATTTTTCGTCCGGTCTCTCCAATGTATTCTTTACCGCATATGCATGGAATGCCGTAAACTCCTGGCATCTCAAATGGAATTTTGTCTTTGACGGATGAAAGATGTCGAGTGATTTTTGGATAAGTAGTTAATCTGGTTTTGACGTCATATTTCTTTAGAACTTCTGGTATGTGGTCAGTGATGTTTTGAATATAAGGAAGAACAACAGTGACAAGAGCGGGATTGCTTTCGGCCTCATTACTATTGGAAGGTTGTAGTGAAGTGTATTTTGTGATGGAACCCTTAATATATTATTAGAGAGAAGAGCAGAAGTAGGGTGTTTTAATTCTGAGTGACTCGGGCTGATATAGTTTTGTGGCTCTGTAAACTGATTTTCTATTGGTAAGAATTTGTAAGAATGGGAGGTTATTATTATTTTCTAATTCAATGGTAAAATAGAGTTTAAATGTCTAAGAAAATCTACTAGCGAACGTTTCCATAATTTTGGTTTTAGATCGAAAGTGTCGAGAGCTTTCTTCTCAAAGGCTTTCATAAATATATATGCGCTGACTGGCGATAGTCGCAAACTCATAGCTGTTCCCGACGTTTGTTCAAAAATTTGACCGTTATAAGAAAAATATGTTCCAGACAATCATTTTTCGACTAAGATGAGAAGGTTTTGTTCCAGAATCTCGGATTTTAATATATCTGAAATAGTGTTGAGAGTTCCAGGAATAGGAACTTTAGAAAACAGGGATTGTACTTCGAAACTAACCAGAATATCTTGCGTATCTAATGTAATGTTTTTTAATTGTCCAATGAAGTACGACACTATCAGTTTTCTTACTGCTGACAATAATTCAAAGGGGTAATCCTGGTTTGTGAATATTTGCGAGTCCGTAGAGACGAGGAAATTTAGAGTGATAGATGACGTAGGATGACGTAAGATTATCTTGAATCTTTCCTGATATTCATTTGTGTTCATGAGCACTATTTCCTTTATCTGCTTTTAAAGATTTAGAGATTTTAGGGCAATGCAATTATTCTTTGCAATATTAGATTTAGGAAATTTTAATTTTTTAAGAATTTTTGCTGTTTCAAATCGAATTTCATTAGCTGTTTGAGATGGCCGTTTGTTTAGTTGAAATGATTTTCTCTTTTGGCATAATACCTGGGGCAAGGGCGAAGTTTTGAAAGAACTGATTTTTCCGTTTCCGAAAGTTGGTGCGATAATACATTGATCACAGTGTTTGGTAGTTGAGAAGAGTTTGATGGCTTTCCTAGTGTTGATTGATGTTAATTCTTCAAATTTCTGAATGTGATTTTTTGTAGAAGATAAACGAATGTCATGAATCGTGTTTGATAGGGTATCGAACACGGATGGCGACAAATTGTTGATTTTTTTCTTCAAATTTCACGCATCTGCCTTTCTCTAAGGAATAAAAGACAGGAATTTAATTTTGAAATGGATAGGTAGTACTAATAAAGTTCTTAAATTGTCAGAATTACATTTCTGTCAGTAGCGAAAGTCAACATGTCACATCTCAATGAAACTCAGAAAATTGAAATTTTATTTTTTATTGAATATGAAGACAAAATAAGAACTCAAGAAGTTTTTTGTTGTTTAATTTAAAATATCCACCAAATACACATTACAATATCCACAGGGAGAAAAAATTATAGACGCAGGGCATGTGAAAGAAATTAATTTATTAGGTGTTGAACATGGCCACCATTAACTTCGTAATCGGTTTAAAAAATCTTCCAAAACATTACCCAGGGTATTTTATTAATTTGCCTTATTTCGTATCCAATTTTAAATTTTGGAATTTTCCTCATACTCATACACTGGAGAAAAATCTATTTACCTGGCATATCAAACTGATATGCATTTGGGAAAGAAATGAAATGATTTCTAAGAAATTATAAATATTGGGCTCCAGTAAAATTTTTTTACTGAAAATCCCTGCCTAAGCATTTATTTCTTTTTGTTGTTCTGTATGATTTTCTCTCATCCTGTTGAGATTATTTGAACGCCAATACCTACAATTTACCATTTAAACATAACGCTTCTTCATCACTTCTGACGATTCAAGAAATCGATTTGGTAGACGATCTTTTACATGTCCTGTTCCTATAATTTTCTTCTCAATTTTATTCAATGTGAATCTTTTACTAACTTCTTGAGTGCTCGTTCTGTGTCCAAATTCAATATATATTAAAATTTCAGTTCCCTGGGTTTCATTTAGATGCGCTATATTCACTTTCTTTACTTTCAGAAATGTAACTATTGCAATTTAACTTTTCTGTTCATTTCAAAATGAAATTTCTGTTTTTTATTCTTTTGCTGATAAAATGTAAAGAGCTATGCTACGTGCTATACAAATTTAAATTATTTAAAAGAATAGTGTTTCATTTAAATAAGGAACGATATATGGTTTTCAGTTATATTAGTTTTTTCGATCATTACAGTTTAACTTTAAATAGTTCCGGTGTGAAAATTTATTTAATTTAATTCAAATCTTTCCAATACTTAAGGGTTAGGTAAGCGAAATTTTTAGGAAAGTAAGAACTAGTGACCCGCCATTTAAATCGGTCCACATTTTCAAAATTATTAAACTTATTTAAAAATTGTTGTATAAAGGAGAATGATTTAAATTTAATTAATTTAATTAATCTATTTATTTGGATATTTAAAGTAATTTTAAAAATAAAGGTACTTAACCTTGAACAGAATTAATATTTTTTGACAACCCTCGTACTTAGACTACTCAGAACTTTTTTGAAAGCACTGTACGTGGAAAAATAGATTCATATTAAAATAATAATAAAGTAAAGTAATATAATAAAATAAGCACATATAAGAACCTTATATTGAACATCTGAAAGTTATGTAACTAATTATCTACTACTGGAATTATAATTTTATGCGAAAATAACCTAGAAATATACAAAACCAGTTATACAGAGTGTTTTTGAAATTTAAAATTAAATTAAATTCAAACTAGTCAAGTAAAAATATAAAAAAAATCTAGCGGTGGCATAATCTTTAAGAAACAAAATCCATCCCCACAACTAAATAAATTTTGCGTTATTGTTTTCCTTTTATCAGTTTCCTTCTTCAGATTTTGAATCAATATTTATTGTACAGTATTAAACATTGAAGAGTAGATTCCTGTCATCATAAATTATTTAGTTCCAACGATAATTGCTTAGGTTTCTGCGTTACAAATATTAAGTCGGTCTGTTTCAGAAATTAAGACTAACTGAAACTTGCAGGTTTCTTTCTGCTATTATAATTTAATCCATATTTGATGTGATCAGAGGAAAGGTGGAAGGCGGCATCTATTGACGCGCTTTGGAAGTTCTCAGTTCGGAATTCTGAAATATCTTAAATGCAGATTTCCGTATTCAAAGCACTAAACGCACAGCTTTAGAGATTTTTTATGTTAGTAGATGTAGATACCACCCATGTAGTTGTGTTTGATATATATGTGCTATAATGTGTTTGAAACTGAAGACTCGAAAAACAAACTAGAAAACAATAAATTCTGTTTTTCGCTGTTTTCATATATTTACCATGAGTAAAATTATTTAACGTTATCTTTTTTTTTTCTTAAACGAATGTGGAAATGTGGATTTTGTTTTATGAAGTATAATTCTTCAACTTCATAAAGCGGGCAATTTTAACCGTTTTATTTAAAAATTTAATGTTTCATTAAAGACCTCACACAGATTTTATGAATTTATGACTAATTTTTGTTCCATATACACTGAACTGCGGTTATAAAGACCCTTTAGGGACCAGAAAAAGAGTACTATATAAGCGGAAGTATGCTATAAAAAATAAAAAAAAATGCAGGTGTGTACATATTTCTATTTTATATAAAAATAGAAAACTAATAAACACTAATCTGGTTACTAAAAAACGAAAGAAACTAAACTACCCAAATTAAAAACTTATCTATCTACATGAACTTTACAACATACAAGTAAAAATACATACTTTATTCTTTTTGAGTA